TACTCCAATTCCACTGACTTAATGAATTTCCAACCTTTTTCTGTAATCTTCACATCTTTATCAAGGGATTGGGATGCTCACAATCCTTCCAATTCTCTTCAACAATATGAAGAAACCCTGGATAAGAGGCTCTGAAGTTAAGATATCTAAAATTAGACTTGCCAGGATGATTGCATGTTGATATACTGATAAGAAGTGGTCTATGATCAGACCCTGTCATACTAAGATGAGTGACAGTGGTGTGTAGAAAGTATTGTAGCCAAATGTTGTTTGCTAATATTCTGTCTAGCCTTTCCCAAATTTTACCTCTTCTCCATGTGAAATCAGGACCATGATACCCCAGGTCAAAAATCCTTGAGGCTTGGATGTTTTCAATGAAATTAGTCGTGATGGCAGTATAAATAGGTCTTCCACCCTTCTTTTCAGTAGGAGACGAGAGGCAATTAAAATCTCCCCTACCAACCAAGGTTTGTCAGTGTTTGAACTTATACTCCTTAGATTATTCCAAAGTTCAATTCTAACTATTTTAGTACAACCAGCATAAACAAAAGTAGCATAGCCATCCATTCCATTCATATTGAAAGAGATATGGAGGAATTGATTTTGGTTCAGCATAATTTTGCAATTCAACTCATTTTTGCACAGAAGCCAAATCTTACTGTTAATGTTCCACATAATGGAAAATTTTGGGAAATTTTTTTGATAATTTTGGGGATTTGCATGAACCAAGGGCTCAAAAAAAGCTAAGCACCAAATTTTGTGCTTCTTATTTAAATAGTTTAGCCTTTTAAAAGATAAGGGGTGGGCTAAGCCCCTTATGTTCCAGCATTGGATGTTAAACATGTTGAAGTGATTTAGATCTCCCCCTAGTTAATCTAGGAGGTTAGTTAATCTAGGAGGTGATAATCTAGGAGGTGACTGTCTTCTTTTTGAATTCTTGCTTCCAGTCTTCTGACTGTGAGAGTCTATCCATGGAATTTTCTTCTTCCTCTTCCCCTTTTGTATTTGCCACTCATTCTCAAGTGTATGCTTCATCTCCAAGACCAATGAAGCATTTGGTGTGTCAGCATTGTCTGACCCACCCTGTTGTTCATTTTGTATACTTGCCTCAGCTTCCATTGCAGTACTAGAATTCAATCCGTCCTCCAAGTTACTGACTATAGGCACCATATATGTCTATTGAACATTGATTACATGTTCCTTAGGTGTGACAGAAATCATCCCCTCTTCCTCTTCAGTCAGACATCTGGGAACAACCTTCCCCAGGGGAAGGAGAGGATCCTCCCCAACAATTGTCCTCATGGTCAGTGTGGGAACTTCTTCACTGGCATGTCTTGGCATCTGCTCAGAACCACCAAGTACCTCTTTATTCTGAGAAAGTTTTCTGGATTGGGTATAACATTTATCCATAGTATGACCAACCATTTTACAATGTTGGCAGTAGTATGGCTTTTGTTCAGCAAAGGTTTCTTGTAAGAAGCCCTCAATTTCAGAGCCTATCCATAGCCTTTTTACCTCAGGAAGTGTGACATCTCTTTCTACCTATATTCTAGCAATTGCTAGTCTAGCTTTGTCAAAAGTTGGGGTGTCCACCCTAAGTGGTGTCCCTAATGCCCTGCCAATGTTAAATAATGCATTAAGCTTGAAGAAAGGAAGGGGAAGTCCTGGAAGTTTATACCAAATGAGCACCACTGGAGGTTCCTTACTTGGATCAAAATCAAAGGTCCATTTTTGAATTTTTATTATAACTCCTGTAATCACTAATGTTTGCTTAGAAAAGAACCTAGCATAATCCTCTTCCACTGAAAGCTGAATTAAGAAATGTATCCCATCTAGGAGACCAATTTTCCAAGCCCCAATGGAGTTGAGGGAGTTAAAATATTTTCTAACTAGTTCCATCTTGGGGTGTCCCAATTGGAACTTGCTTATTAAAGTAAACTTAACTTCATCTTTCAATGTGACCAATTCCTGGTTTGTAAAATAGAAATCAGTTTCCTCATCTTTGGAACCAAGTGGATGAATACAAGGACAAAATCAGTTTCTTCATCTTTGGAACCAAGTGGATGAATACAAGGACAATTATTTTTTCCAGCTGCAATATCATGGAATTCCTATGGAAAAACCAGTTTCTCAGGATCTTGTAAAAGATCAGTAGCTCTTCCCACCACACCAACATATGTGACCTTGGTCCACTAAGCATAAGTGTTTACATCAATTTGAGTGGCCATGTCCAAGCCCCCAACAAGATGTAAACAGAATAACTCACCAACCAAAAACCCCCCAAACCAGAAATAGCCAAGGTGGTAAATAGAAACCCTCCAAGCGACCAAAAATAAAGTCTCAAACAGCCTTAAAAAAACAACACCCCAAACAAAAGACAACTCCTGGAATATAGAATAGACTCCTCAGCAAAAACAAAAAACCAGGAAGTACACAAACCTACAGGAAACCAAAACAGCAAAGCTTGGCTTCAACGAAACAGTAACCACTCTCCACTCGAGAAAGCATATAAAGTGGAGAACACTGCCAAGATGAAGACCAAGTAGAAGGAAAGCCCCAACAAATCACCAACTTCAGCTTCCACCACCAGCCAGCTCCAGCAAGTCTTCATCCAGCTAGAAATTCTAGCAGAGCTCCACCACCAGCCAACATCCTCATATACATATATATATATATATATATACATAT